TGAATGGTTTGAATGCTCTGACAAAAAGACACAGAGTAGCTGACTGGATAAGAAAGCATGACTCACACATATGTTGTTTACAAGAGACCCATCTCACAACAAAAGACTCACATTGGTTGTCTAGTGGAAGGGATGGAAAAAAATCTTACAAGCAAATGAAAAGAAAAAAAAAGCTGGGTAGCAATACTCATATCTGATAAAGTAGATTTCAAAATGAAGACCATAACTAAAGACAACAAAGACCACTACATAATATTGAAAGGATCTATCCTACAGGAGATATAATCTTGGTAAACATATGCACCCAATATAGGAGCACCAAAATATATTAAAAATCTTCTAGAGGACTTCAAAGAAGAAATTGACAGCAATACAATCATAGCAGGGGACTTCGAAACCCCGCTGACATCACTAGATAGATTATCTAGACAAAAAAATTAACAAGGAAACACAGACTCTAAATGAAGCACTAGATCAAATGGATTTAATAGGTATCTACAGAGAATTACACCCCAAAACTGCAGAGTTATCATTCTTCTCAAATGCACATGGGACATTCTCAAAGATAGACCACATGTTAGGACACAAACTAAGTCTCTACAAGTTCAAGATTGAAATCATATCAAACAACTTCTCAGATCACAATGGCATGAAACTACAAATCAATTGCAACAAGAACATGCAAAGACATTTGAACACATGGAGGCTAAATAGCATGTTATTGAACAATGAATGGGTTACTATGGATATCAAGGACGAAATTAAAAACTTCCTGGAAAACAATGAAAATGAACACACAACACCACAAAATCTAGGGGATGCAGCAAAAGCAGTTCTGAGAGGGAAGTTCGTAGCACTACAGGCCTACCTCAGAAAACAAGAAAAATCTCTAATAGACTATCTAACCTCACTTAAATAACTAGAAAGTGAACTAAAAAAGAAAACAAAACAAACAAACAAACAAAAAAAAACCCAGAGCAAGAAGAAGGAAGGAAATAGTAAAGATCAGAGCAGAAATAAATGACATGGAGACAAAAAAAAAAAAAAACAATTCAAAGGATCAATGAAACGAAGAGCTGGTTCTTTGAAAAGATAAACAAGATTGATGGACCCTTAGCTAGACTCACCAAGAAACAAAGAGAGAGAACCCAAATGCACAAAATCAGAAATGAAACAGGAGAAATAACAACTGACACCACAGAAATACAAAGGATTGCTAACAAATATTATGAACAATTATATGGCAACAAATTCAACAATCAAAGCAAAATGGACCAATTTCTGGAAACACATAGCCTCCGAAAACTGAACCGGGAAGAGATAGAAAACTTGAACAGACAGAATAACAACAAAAGAAACTGAAGATGTAATCAAGACTCTCCCAGCAAACAAAAGCCCAGGCCCAGAAGGCTTCACGGGGGAATTTTAGCAAACATTCAAAGAACTAATACCCATTCTCCTCAAACTTTTTCAAAAAATTCATGATGAAGGAAGACTTCCAAACTCATTTTATTAGGCCACCACAATTCTAAATCCAAAACCAGAAAAAGACACTACAAAGAAAGAAAACTACAGGCCAATATCCCTGTTGAACACAGTTGCCAAAATCCTGAACAAAATACTAGCAAATCGAATCCAGCAATACATCAAAAAAATTATTCACCGTGACCCAGTAGAATTTCTCCCAGGGATGCAGGGCAGGTATAATATTTGCAAATCAGTAAATGTGATACACCACATAAACAGAATGAAAGATAAAAATCATATGATCATATCAATAGACGCTGAAAAAGCCTTTGAGAAAATCCAGCATCCATTTCTGATAAAAACGCTCAGCAATCTGGTAATAGAGGGATCATATCTCAACATAATAAAGGCCATATATGAAAGACCTACAGCCAACATCATACTCAATGGGCAAAAACTAAAAGCATTTCCCTTAAGAACAGGAACAAGACAAGAATGCCCACTTTTGCCACTCTTATTTAACATAATACTGGAAGTCTTAAGCACAGCAATCAGACTGGAAAAAAATAAAAGGGATCCAAATTGGAAATGAGGAAGTGAAACTGTCATTATTCGCAGATGACACGATACTATACATAGAAAACCGCAAAGACTCCATCAAAAATTTACTAGACTTAATAAATGAATTTGGCAAAGTAGCAGTATACAAAATTAATGTCAAGAAATCAACGACATTCTTATACACCAATGTCGAACTCACAGAAAGAGAAACTAAAAAAAAAATCCCATTTACCATCGCAGAAAAAAATTAAGATACCTAGGAATAAACTTAACCAAAGAAGTAAAGGACCTATTCGCAGAAAACTACAGGTCATTGAAAAAGGAAATAGAGGAAGATATAAAAAAAAAGTGGAAGCACATACCTTGTTCATGGATTGGAAGAATTAACATCGTTAAAATGTCCATACTACCCAAAGCAATCTATAGATTCAACGCAATCCCCATCAAAAACCAATGGCATACTTCACAGAACTAGAATAAATACTTCAAAAGTTCATATGGAACCAAACAAGACCTCGAATAGCCACAGCAATCTTGAGAAAGAAGAACAAAGTTGGAGGGATCACATTACCACATTGCAGGTACACTACAAAGCCACTGTAATCAAAACAGCCTGGTACTGACACAAGAACAGGCAAATAGACCAGTTGAACAGAACAGAGAACCCAGAAATTATCCCAAGACATTATGCTCAATTAATATTTGACAAAGGTGGCAAGAGCATACAGTGAAGTAGAGACAGCCTCTTTAATAATGGTGTTGGGAAAATTGAACAGCTACATGCAAAAAAATGAAACTAGACCATCGACTTACATCCTATGCAAGAATAAACTCAAAATGGATAAAAGACTTAAATGTGACTCATGAATCCATAAAAATCCTAGAAGAAACTGTAGGCAACAACATTTCAGACATCATATGCAGCAGAATTTTCATTGATACATCACCTAAGACAACAGAAACAAAGGAGAAAATGAACACATGTGACTATATCAAACTCAAAAGCTTCTGCACTGCAAAAGATACAAACATCAAAATGGAAAGGCAACTCACTGTATGGAAGAGCATAATTGCCAATGATATATCAGATAAGGGGTTAATTTCCAATGTATAGAGAGTGCTCATACAGATCAACAAAAGGAAGACAAAGAACCCAATTAAAAAATGGGCAGAGGAACTAAATAGACACCTCTCCAAACAGGACATACAAATGGCTAAGAGACATGTGAAGAAATGCTCAACATCACTAATCATCAGTAAGATGCAAATGAAAACAACAATGAGGTATCACCTCACACCTGTCAGAATGGCTGCCATCAACAAATCATCAAACAGCAATTGTTGCGAGGGTGTGGAGAAAAGGGGACTCTAGTACTCTGCTGGTGGGAATGCAGACTGGTGTAGCCACTGTGGAAAACACTATGGTGTTACCTCAAAAAGGCTTATAAAAATTTGTTGACCAGAGAGGAAGACCAATCAATTAATTTTACCTCACATTGAAAATAATTTTTAAGAAATTATTTTATATGCAGTTGTATTTTATTTCTTTGCCATATTGCAGCAATATTCCTTTTCTCTGATAAGTATAAACAGCCTCACCTCAGTATGGATTAAGTGTGCTTTTTTGGGATTAATTAGAAGTCACTTATTACATTGTTTTTATGGCAAGCTGGATTCTGCCCTTACAGACCCATTTTGGTACATCATTTATAAAATGTGGACTGCCTGTTCAGAATTTTTCCTTTTCAGTAATTTTTCTTAACAAGGAATTTGGTTTTCAATGAAAGTGCCTCATTTGTTTTTCTGTCCTTTAATGGGTGTGTCTTCTTGTGTTATTTACTACAAATTAAGGTTCTCAGACTTTTTCAGTCTTGGGGCAGGAGGTAATTGCTGGAGCCAACTGGAAGTAGATCAGGGATTAACAAATGTAGCACACGTAGGTTGATACCACAGGGCTGTGATAGCTGAGAGGCATGTATACATGCCACTATAATGAAAACAGTCATCAGCTGCAGAGCGTATAGATGTGTAGAGGAAAAATTTTACATTTGTTATTGTAAGTGAATATTCCATATTATCTTTAGGCTTTCCCATCATTAATAAGTTTAAAAACAATATCTAAGTTATGGCATCTCCATACCTATCCTGCCACTGCTCCATTTAGGACTTTGTGCCTCTTCCTGGACCACTGCCTTTGTCTCCTCCATGTGGTCCTCACCCATCTAACCACTCACCACTCCCAGTCCCCTTCAATCTTCCCTTCACTGTTGCTCCTCAAAATCTCAGTGCTAATCAGCCTTTATTTTTCCTGATTTCCTCTGCTTCCCCTCCTCCCTCTCTCCATCTCTCTATTTCTATTTTTTGTTTCTTTCACTTTTAGAAAAGTCAAAATAAAGTGAACATACAAAGTGGTTGCTTCAACCACTCACAATTCTCCAAAATCACCTTCACCCTCCACCTTCACCCTCTTTACGAATATATATGTATAATCTCCACTTTAAGAAGTCCACATGTCATGAAGGACCTAGTTCAAAAGCTACTTTGTAATGTTTTTCTGATTGTCTCTTCCATCCACATAGATGAATATATATCTTTTTTTTTTTCTCCTGGGACCTTTATACTTCTAGAATTTATCATATTCTTTCTTGTCTCACCATCATAGCTAGTGGATTGTAAGCTCGTTAAGAACATTACCCATGTTTGGTTTATTTTGTAAACCTCTTAGCACCCAGTAGAGGAATGTGCTTTATAGCAGAGTTGTAAAAAGTGTTATGAACACTTATTTGTCTACAAGATAGGCTGGTGTAAATGTGCTTTATTGAACTTGATGTTTGTGATATCTCCTTGTATCATTCCTAATCTCTTTCATATGAGTTTTTGTAGATTTTTAAGGTGCAAGAGCAGCCCCTTTTCATTAACAAGTTTAATCATGCTTTTTAACAGTCAGTGAATTGTACCCTCTCTCTTGGTAGCCTCGTGTGCAAACTGAACACAAGGACCACCATCCTGGCAGCAACTAATCCCAAAGGCCAATATGACCCTCATGAGTCTGTGTCTGTGAACATCGCCCTTGGCAGCCCACTCTTAAGTCGATTTGACCTGATCCTGGTTTTGCTTGACACCAAGAATGAAGACTGGGATCGTATAATTTCCTCCTTTATCTTAGAAAACAAAGGTACGTGGAGACAAATGATTGAGAAAGAATAAAAGTAGATACAACTAAATGAAATTCTCTTAGAAGAAAATTAAATAATTACCCGAGGTACCCTATCTAATGGGCAACAGAGAGCTGCTTAGACTAAAAGTAGTGAGAGGAGCCAGTCAGTGAGCCAAGAACAATGAGCAGAAGGTAAAAGGCCTTTCTCTGTCTACCACTGATGAGATTATGGCTGTGAATATGTTTTTATGATAAAAGAGGGAAATCTTATGATATATATTAATACCTCTTGCACCCAAAGAAAAGACTGAATTATAAAAAAGAAATTTAAATATGGGTTTCTCTCTAAATTAATTTTGATTTACTCGAGTGTTATTTAATTCTGTAGCATAGACCAGAATTATTTTGGGTAATTTTAAACCCTGTAGGAAGTTTACCTTTATTAAGCTTAGATCCTAAGACTGTGTGTTCTAGAACTATATTCTACACAGAGGCAGGTCTAGATTTCAATGGCCACAAAAACCTAAAGATTATTTTTTTAAAAATGAGTACAAGAACTATATCAAAACCCTTAAAATGAGGTGTTTGCCTGTTCTTAGAAATTACTGATCAACACCTGATATATACAGGTTACCCAAGCAAATCAGAGAAGCTCTGGAGCATGGAAAAGATGAAAACCTACTTCTGTCTCATCAGGAATCTTCAGCCCACACTGTCTGACGTGGGTAATCAGGTTCTTCTCCGGTACTACCAGATGCAGAGGCAGAGTGATTCCCGAAACGCTGCCCGGACATCCATCCGCCTGTTGGAAAGCTTGATACGATTAGCAGAAGGTTTAGTTCATTCAAAAATTTTTTTTATTGGGTACCCAATATGTGCAAGAAATGGGGGTTGGCACCATGAATTCAAAGATGAATAAGAATAATTCCTTCTCTGAGGTGCTCACAGTTGCTTATTAAAGTGAAGGCTCTGAGCTATGAAACCTCCACTCTTCTAGGGCATTTATGGGTGTTGAGTGAAATGTAATGTCATTAAGAAAGAGGAATATGCGACATCTCAGAACCTCCTGTAACTTAAGACGTCATTCATTTAGAAAGTCTTATTCACTGAGGTTTTGTTTCTCAGTGGCATTCTATTAGCATTTTGGGTGAGATACTGCCTTGTTTGGAATTGTTTCCTATATAGTAACCCATCACTAACATAATAATACCAAATTAATTATGCCATGCCCTATCCTATCCCTAAGATATGAGAGTGACATGCAAACTTAGAACTAACTTGCATCTCAAGATGTGTTTTTCTTTAACATTGGCTTTTACATTTAACCCTTGTTTAAATAATTCAAAAAAATTAACATGAACTGACTGTACCATATGATGACATAATATATGCTCAATAAAAAGTTCTATAAAACAGATGCACTTTACTTCCTTAAGGATTTATAGCTAATGTTAGTGCAAAAATACCCAAATTTTGTGCTCATGAGTTTGGTAATTTTTAAAAGCTTACAGATAAAGAAAATTGCCAGAGATGAGAAATGAGTTTAATTTTGTTTCTATAATAGACTAGAAAGTGAAGATTAAAAGTTGTTGAATATTGAGTGTATGCTTATATAGCCCCTTTTTTGCTGGAGCGCAGAGTACTTTTCATATAAATACCCAGAGTTGCAGAAGGAAGGATTCGGTCCTTTAGTAGAGGAACAACCTTAAAGCAAGTTGAAATTAGGCTTCTGTGCTTGTTCTAGTAAAATTAATTTGTTATTAGTAGCTCATTTATAATATACAATTTTTTGGAGGGGGAATCAGGTAGAGTATTACATTTATCACCTCAAATGTTTATTTTTAACATTTCTATCTTTATAATATAAATGCATCTCATTTTTTTAGCTCATGCTCGCCTGATGTTTCGTGACACAGTGACTCTGGAAGATGCTGTTACAGTGGTGTCAGTAATGGAGTCCTCAATGCAGGTAAGGACATGTACTAATATTTGAGCTGTAATTACAAGCATCAAATAAAAGACAATGGATAGCATATCAGGAGTTATTAAAGTGATCATATTCTAGACCTAATAATTCCTAGAAATATATCCAAAGGAAACCATTTAAAAGAAGGAAAACATTGTCATGGAAACATTCTCTGCATCAGTAGCATTGCTTTTGGGTCTCAATCCCTTTTCTCCTTGACACACCTGAGGGGGTGCTCATAGTCCCACTAGTGCAGTGGTTCTCAACCTTCCTAATGCCACGACCCTTTAATATAGTTCCTCATGTTGTAGTGACCCCCCAACCATAAAATTATTTTTGTTGCTACTTCATAACTGTAATTTTGCTGCTGTTATGAATCGCCATCAGAAATATGTGTTTTCTGCCCTGGCCAGTTTGACTCAGCAGTTGAGTGTCGGCCTGCGGACCAGAGACTCACAGGTTTGGTTCCTGCTAGGGGCATGTACCACCAAAAAACAACAACAAAATAAATAAATAAATAAATACATAATATGTTTTCTGATGGTCTTAGCCGACTGCTGTGAAAGGGTCGTTTGACCCCCAGAGGTGTTGCGACCCACAGATTGAGAACCACTGCGTTAGTGAGAGCGTAGCTTCTCTGAGCAATGCCTGCCACAAAAACAGGGAGAAGACCATTGAAATTTGAAAAAGTCTCCCAGGTGATTCTAATATCAAGGTGAGGGTTTGGAGGGCTGGTCTTAGCCATCTGGGGTCAGTGGTCCCTCATGTGTACTTCCTCTGTGTAGGCTGGCTTGGCGACTATCCCTGGTATTCTCCATTTCTCACCCCTCCAGGGAGGTGCACTGCTGGGAGGTGTGAATGCACTTCACACTTCCTTTCCTGAAAACCCTCTGGAGCAATACCAGAGTCAGTGTGAGCTTATTCTGGAAAAGCTGGAGCTACACAGCCTCTTGAGTGAAGAGCTAAGAAGACTTGAAAGGTGAGAAAAGAAAACCAAGAAAGGCATATAATGCAAAATCTTTATTTGACATTTAGTGAAACAAAGGAAGTATAAAGTGGAAAATCTGTCTGTGCTAATCTGTAGGGATTGTTTGTTAATCTATTGCTATATATATAATCAGCTACCCCAAAACTCAGTGGCTTAAAGAAAGAGACACCACCCCATTATAGTTCTCATTTTTCTGGGAGTCAGAAATTCAGGAGGGCTCATGGGGATGGCTTATCTCTAATCCACATAGTCTCAGCTTGGGGTTACTTGTATACTTGCATCTAACTAGGAGCTCACCTGGTTTTTGGCACGTCCAAGATGCTTCCGTCATGTGTGGTATCTTCGCTCTGGTGGCTTAAATGGCTGGGTGCTGGCTGGGCTCTCTCTGCTGTAGGGTAGTCAGAATTCTGCTGTGGTAGCTTAGGACTCCAGTACAGCAAAAGTGAGCTGCCAGGCCTCTTACAGGCTGGGCTTGGACTGGAGCAGCATCACTTCTGTCACATTGTGTAGATTAGAGCAAATCACAAGGTCAGCCCACAGGCAAAGTAATGGGAAATAGACACCACCAGTCGATGGGAGGCGTGGCACAGACATAGGGGACGGAGGAATTGATGGCTGCCATTTTTGAAGACCTCCTTCCAAAGGTACATTTTCTTGACTTGCTGGTTTGGTGAACCTCATGGGGAACACTGACTGGTTTTTTTTTATTTTTATTTTTTATTTTATTTTATTTTTTTATCCTCACCCGAGGACATCCTTCCATTTTTTGTACAGATAGAGTGGGAGGGAGAGAGAGGAAGAGAGAGAGAGAGAGAAACATCGATGTGAAAGGGACACATCGAGTGGCTGCCACCCGCACGACCAACCAGGGCCGGGGACAAACTGCAACCGAGGTACATGCCCTTAGCGGGAACCGAACCCGGGTCTCTCCGGACCGCAGGCCAACGCTCTAACCGCTGAGCCAAACTGGCCAGGGCCTGACTAGTTTTTTACTATATCTAGTAAACTTTATGTAAATTTACTATATGTAGTAAAATTGATAATACTGGGTCTCAGTTACATGAGAAGCACCAAGGTAAGCTACCTACGGTTCACACCCAAGATGCATACTTGCTGTGGAATTAAGACATGGGCTGTATCATGTTTGCTTCCACCACGTTTTCCTCTTCTCTTTCTTTGGCTCACTATATGAAGTAGAGCAGTGCCATTCAAAGAGGCAGCTGGGACTGCTATTAAAAAAGAGGGAGTTAGATTCCGGGAGGGATCTGTCCCAGGCCAGACCCAAACATCAAGTATCTACTTGGCCTTATCATTTTTCCTCGGCAGGAGAGGACATGTGCAAGGGAGTTTACATGAATCTTTGTGTTTATTAAGATTTTAATTTTATTCTTATTGTTTTTAAAGCTTTCTTCCAAACATAAATATTTGATCATTAGTCCTTATATAACCCTAGTGAAAGGAATTCATAGGTAGACTGAGGCACAGACTGGTTTTAAGCCAGCCTAAGCTAGTATGCTGGGCAGGTTCTAGAAATAGAGATAACTAGTACTGACCTTCACCTGGGAAAGGCCCTCCTGGTTCCTTAGCAGCAGTTTCCTTTCCTGCATGCCCAAATTCTTGACCCTTAAAAACTTATATATTTAACAGTCAGACTAAAAAATCCCCAGTTGAGAATGATGTATTTAATGTTAAAGAGGGAGATCATCCTATAGGGTAACAACTCGAGAATGACAAAAGCAATGTTTCAAAACTCACCTTTCTAAGGACTTGTTAAAATTTGGACAAATGGGAAGGAACACATCACATGCATTACCTGAAGAGTTGTAGCCTGAAATTTAATGTTACATGTCCCTAAATATATGAGCTTCTAAAACAGACTTTGAGTCCGTGTCTGTGCAATAGAAGTGAGGAATGGCAAGTGTGTCCATTTGGGTGCTTTCATGATCAGTTGGGTGGCTGAGTAATTGACCTGAACCTGGTTGTGGTTGATCTTAGGGCTGGGTCTGATGAATGGAGCACATGTGGAAGCGGAGCAGCTTGCAAAGACAAGGGGGGACCACATTGGGATTGTTGACTGTATTTAAGTAAAACCTTGAGAATTCTTTTCCTGGCATTCTCTCCTATTTGCTATTTCCTTCATCCAGCAGAATTATCTTTAGGTTATAAAACTTCAGCACAGCCTTCCTCAGGAAGTATGGGCTGACTTTGTCCCACTAATACAACAGCTGCCAGCCTGCAGTAAGCTTGCACTTTGTATAATATCAATCCTCTGTCTTTTGGTTTCTTGATTTATTAATGACCCAGAGCATGGTGTTTAGATCAAAACTATTCCTTTGGTTCTTTTCTGGTTTGTATAGCAGATCCTTTCCTGGCCTGCTCTGGGCTTGGCTTTTGGAGACACTGCTCATTTTGACTGTCAGAAATTGGTCATTTTGACTAAATGGATTCAGGAAGGGAAGGAATGTGAGGCTCAGAATAAGTGTTATACGATAGAAAAATAGCCCTTGGACTTAACCAAATTCAAAATGACTCTCCTATAAGGAAAAAAGAAATAAGAGTGATGATCTAAAACATAGGATTTTGCCTTAAAATGTTCTTTTCTTCTGGTATCTCTTTGTAATGCAGAGGCCTGTTTGATATTGATCCTCAAAGCAACAAAACCAGGTGCCCCACAGATGGAAGTACATTACCTCTAGAACACAGTCTAAAGCTAATGTTAACAGTGAGAAAACTCCAGGTAGCATATAGGTTTATCCCTTGGGAAAGAATTCTCTGTTCCTTAAGGAGATCACATATCAACCATAAAACTATTTATATTTTTATCACACTCTCCTTCTGGAAAATTGTTTTAGTGACATCCTGCCTCATGATGGCCAAAGTACAAAGAGCTGTCTTTTAGGAAGTCATAGTAAAATTGCAGACATTTTATGTAGGGGAGAATTTAATTCCCAAAGTCAGAAGTAGAATAAAATAGTGAGTTAAATAATTCTACCCCTGAAAATTTTTTATGTTTTAGGACATTGTTGTGGAGCTGTAATAATTACTAGTATCCCTGACCTCAATTTGCTGCTGAAAGTATACTAGATAATAGTAATCTTGAAAGCTATTTGTGGGGGTTTTTTTGTTTGGTTTGGTTGGTTGGTTGGTTGGCAGGTTGGTTGGTTGGTTGGCTGTGACTACAATAAACATGGATTTGCTATAGTGATGTTTCTAAATCTAGCATGTGTGAATATAACCTAATATTTTTACAATAAAATGTTGGTGGGTTTTTTTTCCTGATTGTGTGTTCTTTATAGAGTATTTTTTAAAGTAACAGTAACAAATTAATCAGAAAACAAAAATCACATATACTCTTATTTTCCAGAGCAATCAATCATTAACATTTTAATGTATTTAGTACCTTGAAATTTAAAATTTATTTAAATTTAATGTATTTTCTTTTATTCCTTTTTCTGTGATCACATATATTTTTAGAGTAATTTATTCACCTACTTTTTTGTGTGGTTTCCTTTGCAGATTTAGTACATGGAAGCAGGCTCGTGTTGCCCCTTGTGCTAAAAAGATGTTTGTGGGTTGTGAGGAAGGGCTTTCTAAAGAATCTTCTTTTGAGAAACTACAATCTCTGTTAGAAATTGATATGCACAAGATTGAAAATGGATATCACTGGTCAGATCCTTCATTCAGGAAGGGTCAGAAGGTGCTGACTCTGTCAACTTGATGGAGAACAGCTGCCCAGAACACACCTGAAACGTGGCTGGGCTTTGCAGGAAGGACGTGACATGGTCTGGGGAAGGTCTGCCATGAATGGGAATGTGGGAGCCAGGGTATACAGGAATCACAGTCTCTACTCTTGAGGAAGATGACTTTTTAGATGCACTAAAATTCAGTACCTCGTTTAGGTAAAGAGAGCATAATTTCTAGTTTTTCACTTTGGTTCTGATCTATAAACTTGCTCCTATGCAACCAGAGCCACTTTCTTAATTAGCAATACGCTACTGTGTAAATAGCTAAAAGTCTGTCTTCTAGTTACACATACAACATGAAAGGTAAGACTGAGCATTTTACATTGACCTTCAAACTGTCTTAAGTGAATGAATGGACTTTCAGGGAAAAGGAAAATGTTGTCAAGCCTGCTACTTCATTTTCTTAATTTTACTTCAGTTTAAGGTTAAAATAGAATGATTATCAAATCACTGAAACTCTATTCTGATGAAAAAAATATAATTCCCTTTTACTGTACAAATAGAGACTATTTGGTACTAAGAATTATGTTGGACTTAACCCTTTAGATCGCATCTCAGACACTAAAGAAATGAAAAGGGTAGAGCAAATTTCCTCCCTTCAATACGTGTTTTCCTTATTTCTGCTACAGGTTACAGAATCAGAGTGTGTACCAACCCCAGGCAAGGACAATGGAGGCAGAGACTACTTCAGAATCCTTGAGAAATGATACAGGGGAAGAATCCAAATTCAGAACGTCAACACAGCAAGAAGAGAATGGTAGTGTCCATACCTCTTCTACTGGAGGCAGCCCCAGGGGAAGTCCATTTCTCGACACTTCAGTCCCTCTAGGGCCTGGTAGGTCAACAAGTAGAAAATACTCAGCTCAGCACAAAGATAGCAGAGATGACAGTTTGGATTGGTTTGATTCCCTGGAAACCCATCAGATTGAACCGAAAAACACTGTTCCTGTGTCTCCTGGTCCCAAAACAACTGGTGGGAAAAGGGTTTTGAAAAACTCCAACAACTCTCAGGATAAGGAAGAGAGTAAGCCAGACCACAGGAGCAAATTGGAGACTGGACCACTTCCAGCACCAGGAGAGACAGAAGCTCCATTGAGGCCAGAGAATGGTGAGAGGAAAAGGGACAAAAAGGCAGCAGTAGTTTCTGAAACAGCAGGAACTGCTGGTGAACCGGACTCGGTACTGACTCATCATGTTCCCAGGAAACTGCACAGGCTGCGCAGGGAGAGGGCGCAGGAGCTGTGCAGAAATTCCACTAGGGCACCTTCACAGCCCCTGAGCCCTGCTCATCCTCCACCCATCCCTGCACGTCGCCCAGAAAGAACTCTGGAAACCCCCAGAAGAAAGAGACAGAAGGCCCTCCTTCAGGTGGAAGAGCCTGAACCTGAAAGTGTTGAGAGTCCGGGTCCCCCTGTGGCCAAACTAGCAAAATTTACTTTCAAACGGAAGTCAAAACTGATCCACTCCGCTGAGGACCGTAGCCATGTGTCTGCTGGCACAACTGACAAAGCAGTTCAGAGTTCGACGTTTTCCCAGCATGGAGCGAGAGGCGAAGCAGCTGTGCCCGTGAAGGGCCCAGAAAAGTTGACCTCTGCCTCAGGACACAGAAGCTCAGATCAGCTGCAGGGGAAGGTACTGGAGGTGTTGCAGCAGCCACCAGAGAAAGGTGGATCAAGAGAGGAGAGGGCATGTGCCCCTGGAAAGAGAGTCATTCAGCCTGAATTTGATCTTTGGAATGAGACGGGTCATTTGTATCTTACTTGTGAAAGAGACAAAAAGGAAGAGCTTTCATACAGTAATAAAAGCAGCAAGGTTCATGCTTGCACATTAGCCAGATTGGCCAACTTCTCCTTTACTTCCTCCTCTGAATCCAAATCAGCATCCCCGCCTCCTTCTGAAAATAAGAACTGGGGTGAGAGAGGCCCAAGCCCTCCTCCCTCGACCGCAGCTACAATGCTTGGCAGGAAAAGGGAAACTTTTCAGTTGGAAGGGTCCACTGAGAGATTCAGCCTTTCCAAAAAATCTCTCTTTACTTTACCAGAACTAGAAGACGAAGCATTAGATTTTGATTGGGATGAAGAAATGAGAAAAAAGCCATAATCATGAAAAGCTTGCTTGTCAAATTTTATGCTGCCTAACTCAACACAGCACCTTTAGGATATCTACATGGTGTCTGTGTATGAACAGAACTGTTGGCGATGTTGAGTGCTTTTCTAAATACCAGCTCCCCGATCACGTTTTGTAATTTCAGGTTTATTTATCTTCATGGCTCAAAAAGTTGTTTAATCAATGTGTAGGTCCTACCAGCACTTGAATTGCATTAATTGATGCATCATTGGATAATTCTGCAGAATGGAGTACTTGCATTCTCGAAGATTTTTTTGTTCGTTTTGTTTTTAAGGGGTGGCTTTCCCAGAATTCCTTCTTTCATTCACTCAGGAACAAATGTCAGGATAGTTGCACCCTTAGAGCTAGCAAGTTAGGTGAACTCTTATGTTTTTTCCTTTTCTTTTTTCTTTACCCCCTAATGTGCCAAGTGTGGTGAATAATTTATTATGGTTTGACAAAATCATATGATTTTTCTAATATTGTTTTTGTGTTTATTATGTGTAAGATTATGTGTAAGGGCCCAGCTGGTGTAGCTCAGTGGATTGAGTGTCGTCCCATGGACTGAGAGGTCCTGGTTTGATTCCTGGTCAGGGCATGCGCCCAGGTTTCAGGGCTCAATCCCCAGTGGGGGGCATGCAGGAGGCAGCCAATTGATGTTTCTTTCTCACATTGTTGTTTCTCTCTAAAAAATCAATTTAAAAACATTAAAATAAGTAAATAAAATAAATAAAGGTTACTAATGCTTTTCTTTCTTCGAGAGGCATCCTCACAATTTCACTGTATTCCTAAAGAGCTGGCAGCTGGTCAAAGAGTAGCTTTCTGAAGTATCAGCCTTTGGAGATTTTCTTCTCTCCCTTAGCCACATTTTGTGCTTCAGGTTCTTTTTATCTTTTGGGGACCTCACTTCAGTACAACTTAAGTCCTAGAGTTGGAAGGAAAGATAGTGCAATAGTCTCAGTCATATATCATGACATCTACCCAAGTAGTTAATATGGGAATGTGATTCCTACTGCTATGACTTATTTGTCTTTAAAACCACGTAAATGACTACGTTTGGTGGTAAAAGACAACTCAAGCTTTGTCTTTCTTAAGTCCTTTAAAATCACTCTTTCTTTGGATTCTAGCAAGGGCTCTTAGGAATCCTTAATTACAGAACTTATCTTCTGAAGTATGAATTTGTAAAAAAAAAAAATAGATTCTTTCATTGTCTGAGGGGCTTCTAGACATGAAGAATACTCAAAAGTATATGTACTTTGTTTAATGATAATTTCATTAAATTTGTACAAAAAAATTAGGAACCCCAATTTTTCTTAGGCATTTATTTAAACATTAATTCCAAAATTGATTGATTAGATATTTTATTAGAAAATTTTAAGCTATGAGTACAAATTTAGTATGGATGAGTCTTTTGAAATCCTTGAACATCTTAAACAGCTGATAAAAAACATACATAAGCAGTGATTATAAAATTTATTATACATTCTCTTAAACCTATTCTAAAACATTAAGACTATGATTTTGATAGTTTCTTTATTTCTGTACTTACTTAATAAATTCCTAGTTAGTATGATTCTTAATGTGATGTAGTCCTAATCTTTCGGTCTTAGTACTTTCCTGGGTTTCAGTATTTTTACTGGAACTAAAGGACAAGGAAAGGATCTAGGTTATTGACTAGTTGATTTTTGGTCTGATTGTGTGGACTAAGTAATTCAAACCTGAGCCAGTGTTGGGCTGCCTGTTTTGTTTTTTGTGGTCCACTTTTAAATCCTTTTCTTACAAATTTTTGTCTTTGAAATTTGGTATCTTTTGCAGTAATGATGTATTAAGCTTTACATAGCTGATAGGCCTAACCTCTTGGCTTCTCATTGAGGGTATTTTGATCTGTTCTTTGTTATCATTTAAAATGGTTGTATTCCTTACTGGGAATCTTGATTCTAGAGCTATTATTCTTAGCAATGAGGGAATTGGTTTACGCAGTTAACTTGTCTCTTCAGGACATTGAGTAATTCATATTATAAAACACAGTATTGAATTGTCTCTCTTTCCTAGTTATTGTACATGTTCATGCCACCTTCTGCCTGGTTGTATTTGTATTCACCATGCATCCTATTACTTGTGTTAATAAAGCCACCCAATTTTTTATTTTAGTAACTTCTACCAGGATTATTTGGCCCAGTTACACATTCCATGTGTTTATCCTTCAGTGCTTACCCAGATTTTAAAAACTATATATGTAAATATTGTAAACAGACATAATTATTAGAAGTAATAAAATATTCCGTGTGAATGCCCCCTACTTACTAAAAAATTAAACTTCTATCACAGCCTGCTTGTGTGTTATGACTACCTTGCTGTGCTTGTATTTGATGCTCGAGGTCTCAGAGTTTGGTCAATAGGAAGTCCCTTTAGGTTGTCGTCAGTGTTCTTTTATGACCGACATTGCTAAAAGCATCCATGCCCCCTGAAAACAACAGCATGTTCTGGACTCGGTTTGATATGTGTTTCCCTGCCTCAAATTATAGAATCAGCTACCCCTAAGGCACTGTATTTTCTTTAGAGTCTAATGGTGTTAGAGGCCAACTATGGGATTTCACAACTAAGACTTTCTTTTACATGGTATTGAGTGTGTGTACCAAGGTAGCACAAAGGTGTCTCAGGGGAAATATGTACAGTCTCAGAAATCAGATTTAAGAAAGTGTGAAAATAACCTTTAATCCTGAATCAACATATCAGAATATTTTTATTTCAGGCCAGTGGACTCCTTGAAAACATTTTAATAAAGTAGAATTATTTAAGTACAATAAAAGCTGTACCTAATTTTCTTTGTGATAGGACCAAACCAGATATTTAATTTTGTTATAACTATATAAAAGAATTAAGTTTTCCTACACTGCAAAAGATAATGCTCTTCAGTGTATCTGTGGTATTCTAAAATTTATAATTGAGATTTTATTGTAATTTTTAGTGTTCCTTAAAAATATAGACAAAACAAGGATATTATTCTGGTATCTTTAACTCTGGCTGAATACCAAACTTTAAACTTTTTCTGAAGGTATACCAAACTTTAATAATAGAGATCTGTTCTTGGTTGACAAATTTTAATTCCAGCAAACCTACATATTTTTTATGTGTATGTTATACTTGATTTCTATGCCCTTCCCAAGTGCTGAACCTGCCTAGCTGGTGGGATTACTGGAAAAGCTATGCTAGGGAAGATCTTTAGAGCTCACCTGCAGCCAATGCACAACGTTTGGGAGTTCAGACCAACCTGCCCTGAAAATCTAGGTCACGAGGGACTGCCCCGGAACCAGGTTTATTGTTTAGGTACAGTTTATCAGACAACCCAATTCCAAATTTAACAAACTCATAACGTGGGATGCTAGGCCAGTACATATTCCCCCATGTTCAGAAGAACAACTTTGTGAATGCTTTCCACATTTTTAACATTCAACAAAGGTAAAGGAAGGTTTGTCCAGCCAGTGTGGCTCAGTGGTTGAACGTCGACCCATGCACCGAGGTCACTAGTTCAATTCCCGGCTGGGACACATGCCCAGGCTGTGGGCCAAGTCCCCAGTAGGGGGCATGCAGGAGATGGCCAGTGGATGTTCTCTCTCATTGATGTTTCTCTCTCCCCCTCTTCCTCTCTCTAAAATCAATAAAGGAAAAAAAATTTTTTTTTAAATAAAGATAAAAGGTTTGTAGCTCACGTTAACACTCATTTCAGTAGGGATTTTGCTGTTTGTGTCCCATCTGCAGGTGGCATAGTGCCCCAGGTATATGGGGAGCCATTACGCACACCCCTCTCCTTCACTGTCACTCCTGGTTCATGCAGAAAAAACACCCCCTGTCACTGAGAGGACATACACAGGAAGCTGTGGTAGCTTCTCCTTTGACAACCTCTTCTGTTCTTATTGCAGTTCCCCTCTCTCCCCTCTTTAGGGCTTAAAAATATGTCTAAAGGTAATATTTGTAGAAGTGAACTTAACAGAAATGTTAAATTAGGCTTAAACTGATTATATATGTATGTAAACTGTCTCATGTGAGCCAAGAAGGGAAATAGAGTATACATGCTGGGCCTGATGCCGCCTAGACGTGGGGTCTAAGTTATTTATCTTGTGAGTGCAGACGGTTTTCAGGCTGCTCTCTGCTTGTTGGAACCTTAAACCTTGGCCGAGTTGAACCACAGGAAAGCAAGCAATGGAAGCAGAAGCACCTTTTTCGGTGGGACAAACTTGGTTTAATTTAGAAATCTCATGAATCCAGGCCAGAAATATGTTGCTAAATATTTCCAATCTATTGTTTTCAGTGCCTGCTGATGCATAAAGAAGGGGTCGCAGAACAAGATGGGAATCAGGCGAATTGGGTTCTAGGACCAAACGATCACCTTGCTGTCTTCAGTGATCTCATTCACAACAGCCAAGGATTAGGCACTTCTCAGTCAGATGTTTGTTTTGTTTTTAGATTTAAAGATATTTAATGCAACATTTGTCATCATTAAAGTTGATATCTGAAGAAAACCATGCTACTAAAGCTGTACTCTGAGTAATAGGTAACTTCACATGTTAACTTTTTGGTAGGAGGTAAAAACAATTGTAAGAAAAAAAGATTATTTATATAGAAGGGAAAAGAATCTCCTTACAGCCCTGGCCGGTTTGGCTCAGCGGTTAGAGCGTCGGCCTGCAGACCAAAGAGTCCCGGCTTCGGTTCCCACTAAGGGCACGTAGCTCAGTTGCAGTTTGTCCCTGGCTCCGGTTGGGGTCATGTGAGTGGCAGCCATTTGATGTGTCTCTCTCACATTGATGTTTCTCTCTCTCTCTTTCTCTCTCTCTTTCTCTCTTCCTCCCTCCCTCCCTCTTTCGCTCCCGCTCTATCTGAAGATAAATGCAAAAATGTCCTCAGGTGAGGATAAAAAAAAAAAAAGAACAACCTTACAATAACAGTGTGATGAAGGTATTTTTATTTATTAGTTAAAAAAATATATTTGTATTGATTTTCAGAGAGAGGAAGGGAGAGGGAGAAACATCCATGTGAAAGTGAAGCGTTGATTGCCTGCCTCCTGCATGCCCCCTGCCAGGGATCGGGGCATGTGCCCTGACTGGAAGTCAAACCAGCAACCTTTCAGTGCACAGTGAATGGAATGACACCCAACCAACTGAGCCACACTAGCCAGGGCAGCAAAGGTATTTTTAGATAGCAGTGCTTTCCTAACATCAGTCAGTCCACAAATACTAGGGTGTGTGTGTGTGTGTGTGTGTGTGAGTGCAAGCGTGCATGATCGTGTGTGCATCGGCCTAACTGAATCTGAAAGGTTGTGAAGCTTTCTTCAGTAGCCCAACTGTGTGGTGATCACAGGTAAGTCAAGTGGGCGCAATGCAGCACAACACCTGGGTGGACAGCTGGTTCGGGCTGCAGCGTCACCCAGTGAGCTCTGCAGGCCCTCCTGCCCTCTC